CCCCCCAACCTCCTTCCTCCTTTTCCCTGAAGAAAGCTGTAGTAACATTTCTGAGCTTTGATCATTGTACATTCATAGTCTTCTACAGGGGCGGCATTCATCAGATATAGAGAGTCTTTTTGAGACTCAGAAGTTCAAAGAAACGTATTCGTAATCTGGTCAGAGTAAATTTGATCTGCATAGTAGATCAAGCAATTTCCGAACGGAAGTCGTGTGTTTACTTTGGCAAAGAATCGTGTTACTTTCCTCAAACAATGACGCAATTAGATGAGATCCAAATACTTCACTCGTAAGATCTGTGTCGGTAATACGGGAAAAAACTCGGCCTTCTTTGTATAAAGAAGCTAAGCTTTACATGAATGATTTATAATAATAATTATTATTACTCTGATTTTTTGGTGAAGTTTTGCAGTTACGGCTAGATAGTCATTGATTATTACACAGCTGTGTTGCCAGCAGGATATTAATACTATCACGATCCCTTAGGGACAGCATAGAAACTACGTCTTTTTAGTTTTAGTAAGTGTTTTACGGCACTGGCAACACAATAAGGTCATATAAGTGCCGACGATAGGAGGCGTTACAAGAGAGAAGCAAACACAAAATCGAAGGAGAGGAGATCAAGACGATAGTTGTTTAACAGAACAGATGGAACTAACCACACCAGAGCACCCGCCAGTCACCCACATGTCTTCTCTGTCTGTGAATCTCGTGTTTTGAGTCTATGTGTCGGTTCTTCTGTGTGGTTGAAACGATCGCGGATTTATCGATTTACGTTCACGACAATAAAGAGGAGAGGAGGGTAGGGATAGACAGAAAGAAGGACAATAAGGAGGTATGACCTTTCTCAACAACACCGACCACTCACCTTTTGTATACGCCCAGCTCTCCACGAGGTAGACCAGTAAGACAGTCAGAGCTGATAGTTCACATTTGTCCAAGCCAAGCTTCAATGTATTGTGATGTTGTGAAAAATCCACAGAGAAACTCCTGGCGTTTACAGGAAAACCTCGGTGACTTGCCGTCACCCCGCACTGTGCATCCACGTATCACCGACCTGAACGCGGAATATAAAAAATAATAAGAATAATAAAATCTGGAATGTAAAGAAAACAAAAGCAGAAGCCAACAGGATATTGTTATCAGAAAAGCCTCTCGTGTTATGTAAAGAGCTCTCGGACAACTCGCCCAGGTAATGGGTTTATGGCCGGCGCTTGTGAATATCACGCGGCGAGGCGTTTGAATGAGGTTATTACTCGCTACAACAGTGCCGCGTCCTCACAGAGGAGAGGCAGATATTTATCTAGACATGGCTGGTTTCCTCTCCGGCTATTGGCATCCCCTCTACCTCCCTGTCACTCGCGGGCTCTGTGCATGTAGTGTGCGCTCCCAGCGTGCGCGTGAGTCTCCGGGGAGCGTGGAGTTGGGGAAGCCAGCAGTATGTGAGTCGGGGAAGCCAGCAGTATGTGATCGTATTTGCCTCCCAAAGCGACCCATGGGTACAGCAGACTGCGGAATTGCTGTTTATCGTTACTGGGAATGGTTAAAAAGTCGATAGGCCCCTAGCTGCGATGTTGGGACCTACAGATTAGATGTCCGGTTGCTGTTTTTCCCTGGTGGATAAAAGTAATAAAAGTAATAAAAGTTATAAAAGTTATAAAAGTAATATGATTTACCGAGCTGGAGTCTCAGTGCGGTCTCCTGGCCCTGGTCAGAGGAATAGACTTGTGGCGTACAGGTGGAACGTGCGGATGATGCTCTCTCTCTCTCTCTCTCTCTCTCTCTCTC